TGCATTTAGCCCTGTTTGTCTCCTTAATTCATCTTGCCAGCTTTTACCCCACGTGTGCTCGTGCTTACAAATGTGGCACCACAAATCCCATAATAATGATTGTTCTATCCAAAAAGTATTATCACAACCCCCACAACGTAGAGCAATCCAGGCAGCACAATGTGGATCATAACAGTCAAGGCAATGTTCCTTTGCTGGATTTGTTAAACGAAAAGTTGATAATGAGTCAATAAAACCAATCGGCTCCTGGGCCGTCCGATAGTGACGTGTCAGTGCTTTGTCCAACACTTTCGAGTGTCCCTTCAACTGTAACAGTAGTGGTCGTAGGACTAGAAACAGTTTCTTCCCCAGTAGCTCCTTGTCCTCCTCCGTGAGACAGTCCACCAGAGGCTGCATCAAAAACAGGTTTAGTCCACTTAGCAGGCACCCACAAAGGTCCTGTACGTGAGGAAACACAAAGATATCCTCGACCCCAATATAATACTTTTGCAGGTTTTTCCCATAATCCTGTAGTCGAGTTTTAATTTCCTGACCTGACCTCGGATGATGTTTAATTGCAGGAGGGATATCGTCTTCCCCAAAAATACATAAATGATTGATCACATACAGAACCTTAGCTAAGCATGATTGTGGGTCTGTTAAATCTTGATGCTTCTCAATATACTGCTTAAGGGTACCATTTGCTCTTTCCACTATTGCCTATCCAGTAGGAGAGTGTGGAATACCTGTCACATGCCTAACAGACCACTGATTCAAGAATTTCTGGACCCTAGCACTCACATAAGCTCGACCATTATCTGTTTTGATACTCTTTGGGACTCCCATAACAGCAAAACAACTTAACAGGTGCCTGATAACATGTGTAGCTTTTTCTCCTGCCTGAGCCGTAGCCCATATGTAATGACTATATGTATCTATAGTGACATGCACACACTTAACTTTACCAAATCTAGGTACCTGTGTAACATCCATTTGCCATTTTTCATTTATTTCCAAACCTCGAGGATTAACTCCCATGCCTAAACCTATTCCCTCATTATGATAACTACATATTGGACATGCTCTAACAATGGCTTTAGCTTCTGATAAACTCAGTTCAAAATGTTTTGCAAGCCCTCTTGCATTTTGATGATATCTGCTATGTGCTTCTCTGGCCAATGTATGCTTGTCAATAGGACAAGAGTTATCAATGGGTAAAGTAACCAATTTGCCTGCACGTTCATTCCCTTCTCCTAAACCTTCAGACCATTTATGACTCCCAATATGAATCACAGAATACACTGCATTTCTCTCTCGTAAAGCTTTCCTTACTTGTATCAATAACTCGTACAATCGTTTATTATTCACTCCCTTAATTGCTGCTTCCTCTATTTGTCTGACTACTCCGGCAACATACATAGAGTCTGTGACCACATTTAAAGGCTCCTGTAAGTTGGACACTGCCCATACTACTGCCAACAATTCCAAAGTTTGTAAACTATCTGCAGGATCTGCTGTAAGAAGTTGATGCTTCCATTGTCCTTTTTCTTGCCAGGTGACAGCAGCACGCCTTGATTTCTTTCCTGCATCTGTAAAAGCTGTAATAGCTCCTGTATCCAATAATCCATAAAGGGTTATGCTTTGATGTCCATGGGTAATTTCCACTTTTTGTTTTGGTCTATTTTGTAAATCCACAGTTAAAAGTGTAACACCAGTAGAGCCAAAACCCTTTTTCATCCCGCGTTTGTCCAGTAAATGATAGTATACCAGATGTCATTTGTGATAGTGGTATTAATTGTGCAATGCATTGTCCTTTTGTTATTCTAATAGGAGGATAAAGGGTGTAAACCATGATTTGTATTTCCCCTGTATAATTCTCATCGATAACACCAGGCAATACAATGAATCCCAGCATAGTTATTGAAGAACGTCCTAATAACAATGCTCCACATCTTTATCCATTTAATATAAGAGGACCCTTTACTCCAGTTTGTATCCTCTCAGGCCTGTTCGTCATTAGTGTGACGTCTACTGCTGCTGATAAATCCAAACCGAGGCTCCCTGCTGTTGCGGTTGCAGACAGGAGGTGACAGCGATGTTGCGTCGGCAGCTGGTGTCTCCGATGTCACGGCGGCAACTTGTGTCTGGGCGCGTATGTCCCTCATTGCCCCATCGGAAACACTTGATGAATGGTCTCGAGCTCTGCGTGTCCGCCAGTGAGCCGCTTCGGAGAGGAGCAAGAGCAGCTAACACCTGATTCTGAGCAGCTAACACCTGATTTTGAGTAGACTCTGCTTGCCTTTGTAACCCTAATCCTAATTCCTTTAAAGTTTCTACTATAAATGCCTGTGAAGCTGTTGGCATTAATGCCATTCGCTCTAAAGCTTCCTCAATAGTCCAATTTGCCCCTAAAGTAGCTAACACTCTTGCATTTGCCTAACAGGTTCACTTTTTACTCCAAACTAACCGTAGAACGTAATTGAGCTAACATCTTCCAATCTAAGGGAGTATATTCCGCTATATTATGTGTAAGGTTCCCCTGTGCATCATACTGTGGTGTGTATGTAACCGGACATGCAAGATTAGAAGCTACTTCCACCGCCTCGCCATCCCCCATCTGCATTACTTCTTTTGCCACAGCAGCCCAAGCTTCCCTCCTCTGTTTAGCCATCTCCCCCCATAGATCACGGTGTGCCCCTGGGATGGGATCTGACTCTTTAAGGGTGCTATGCTGCTGGCACTTCGGTACCGAGACTGAGCTCTCGTACGGGGAAGGCGGTGGAGCAGGAGCTAACTCCAGCGCGGGGGAAGCGGCCCCCCCGCTGCTGGAGCTGACAGTGAAACCGGAGACGACTCGCACGGGGGAAGCGGCCCCCCCGCCAGAGCCGGCCTGCTCGGGGGAAGCGGCGGAGGCAACGCTGGCGGCGGAGGCGAAGCTGGCTTGCTCCCACCCCCACCATCTGACCCGCCTGAAGCTGGCGGCGGAGGCAAAGCTGGCTTGCTCTTACCTCCACCATCCAACTTGCCTGAAGCTGGCGGCGGAGGCAAAGCTGGCTTGCTCTTACCTCCACCATCCAACTCGCCTGAAGCTGGCGGCGGAGGCGAAGCTGGCTTGCTCCGACCCCCACCATCCAAATCGCCCTCCCCCTCTGACAGGAAGGGTGCAGATGGTTCCACTGTATCTAAGGGAAAATTTTCCACACCATTTTGCTGGGGACCCTTAGGCATAAATATCTGAGTTACAGAGGGTGCTAAGGGATCATCCTCACGACCATACCCTATATTCCTCTTATGAGCTTCTGTTGCCCTTTCTGCTGCCTTTCTCTCAGAGACCTGCTGAAGTAACGTATTATACACCACCCGCCATAACTTGCCAAATTTCTTTGCTGACTTATCATCATCTAACACCGTATCCCACAGGATATCCCCAAACTTTTTCCACTCTACTATCTCATGAACTGTATGTGGGTTAGCAAAAATTCTTTTAGAATAACCATAAGCTAATAACCCTGGTAATTCCTTTTTTAAATCTATCCCTTTTACTCCTCGCCTTTCTAAATATGAGGAGAAGGAATCGTATGTCGCTTGCCTATCCATACCTATATATCAGCGCGCGCTGTTGCAGCCCTTCCAGGCTTCCTGCGACACGTAGAGACTTGAGATACCTTTTGTAATCCTCAAGGGTGCTTTTAAAATCCGGCACCGTCCCGGCTGCAAGGACTCTCACCCAACTTCCCCGACCGTGGCGAATTTATAATCCAAGAGAGCGAACGTTCAGAATGCTGCCTTTGCCCGCATTCTCCACCATTTGTCGGAGGAAGGAGACCCAGACACCAATTGGTTCATCCAAGTCCAATTTATTGATCGAATACGGCGGGTTAAATATGGTTCTTAATAAGCTTCATACATATTGCAAAAGTTGAGCTCAGGATTGGTTAGTTACATATCAGCAACTACACCTACTTCTACATTCTTGTGCTTATTCTTCTGTTACATTCTGCAGATATTCAGGACTAATCTCACCTCCCTTTCCTCATGTTGCAGCAAGGCCATCCGGCATTCTTGCCTGTCAGCAGTCACTGAATCAGAGACTGCTGACCTCCCTTTCAAGCTTAACCAGCGGCATTAAGTCAGTATGGCCTTTCTTAACTAACCAACTCTTAATAAAATCCTCCACACGCCGGCTTCACAAAAAGCTTTGTGTGCAAAGGGCCCTGGAGCGATCCCCGTTCCGCACTGGTACAGAGGGGAACTGGGGGAGATTGGGGAGAAATGGGCAAAATTGGGGGAAACCAAAAGCTGGGGCAGCGGTGGAGTTTTGGGGGAAATGGTCAAGATTTGAGAAACAGGGGTGGGGATTTTGGGGAAGGATCAGAAAATTCTGAGCTATTTGGGAAGAGAGAGGAGAGGGCTTGGGACCACAACCACCATCAACACCATAACAAGCACCACCACCACCACAACTACTACTGTAACATTTGGCACAAAAATAGGTGGCGGAATCCTCGTCCTTGAGATTGTTCATGGTCAGCGTCACCGAGCTCTGCCCGTTGTCCTTGGAGATCATGAACCAGCCCTTGACCGATGGCGCATAGTCGGTGTAACCTCCAGTGTAGTAGATCCTTGCGACATCTTGCACCCCCTGCCCGGGTCTCTGGCGGATCCAGAACAGGTCAACACTCCCGAAATCGAACCCAGACCCTCGGCAGAGGTAGCGCAGGGACCCCGCAGGGGGCTGGAGTACCCCCCGCACTCCAGCAGGGTCGCGGCCGCCTGGAGCCCCGCGGGACAAAGGGGAGATGGGGATGAAGGAAAACATCCACCCAAATGTTGATTCTTGCATGCAGATCCTGATGTTGCCAAAAAAATTGGGACCCTTGGACCTCACTGTCTCCCTCCTGCAACTGCTGCCAGTCATCCCGGGTGGATCCCACACCCTTTTTCTGGAATGGCAGCGCCAACTTTGACCGCACAGCCAATCCATCCCCTCATCCCAATCTCTCCTTTGTCCCGCAGGGCTTGGGGCGGCCATGACCCTGCTGGAGTGCGGGGGGGACCTCCAGCTGCCCGGGGGGTCCCTGCACCTCTTCTGCCGTGGGTCCGGGTACAGTTTCGGCAATTTTGCCATGAACTGGGTCCGACAGAGACCCGGGCAGGGGCTGGAATTCGTGGCGTACATAAACATTGGTGGAGCCACTTACTACGCGCCTTCGGTCAAGGGCCGGTTCACGATCTCCCAGGACAACGGGCAGAGCTCGGTGACGCTGACCATGAACAACCTCAAGGTTGAGGATTCCGGACCCTATTTCTGTGCCAGGGCTGCTGATAATTATGGTGCTGCTGCTAATGGTGACGCTGCCCCTGATGGTGTCAAGCTCCTGCCTTTCATCCCACTCCCATCACTGAGTCCCCAGAGTTCTGCTTTTCATCCCAAACCTCACCCATTGACCCAGCCCTTCACCCTTTGTCTCCATTTGCCCCAATGGTAAGCACTGACCCTAAACCCTCCCCTGCTCCTGCCCCATAACTCAACCATTGGCCCCAAACCTTCACCCCTGGGCTCCAGTTCAGGCCTGCTCCAACCAGGTCTTGGGAGCTGGGAGAGATTTGGGTAGAATGGGAAAAACTGGGAGAAATTCAGGATTTGGGGATGCAGGGGCAGAGTTTGGGGTAAAATGGCCGAGATGTGATGAAAAGGGCTGAGATTTGGTGGAGAGATCAGAGGACCAGGGGATATTTGGGAACAAAGTGGAGGGATTTGGGACCAAGATCAGAACCAGCAATAAATGCCACACCAACAGTACCATCACTATTGGCACAACCACCATCAACGCATTTGGCACAGAAATAGGATCCGGAATCCTTGTCCTTGAGGTTGTTCATGGTCAACGTCACCGAGCTCTGCCCGTTGTCCCTGGAGATCATCACCCGGCCCTTGAATGATGGCACGTAGGCGATGTTGCCACCGTTGTCCTTGATCCCTGCGATGAATTCCAGCCCCTGCCCGGGTCTCTGGCGGACCCAGAACATGGAGAAACTCCCGAAATTTAACGCGGACCCTCGGCAGAGGAGGCGCAGGGACCCCCCGGGGGGCAGGAGGTCCCCCCCGCACTCCAGCAGGGTCACGGCCGCCCGGAGCCCTGCGGGACAAAGGGGAGATGGGCACCAGGCCCAGCTGTGCCATTCTCATTCCCAGCACAGAGTCAGACACCATTCCCTCTCTCTCTCTGTCTCTCTCTCTCTCTCCCTCTCTCTCTCTCTGTCTCTCTCTTTCTGTCACAGGATTTTTCCTGGAGCAGCACAGAGAGAAGATGAAGAGGAAACAATTCCCATCTCTCCTCGCTGCTCCTGCTGTTTCTGCGCGTGTGGAATGTGTCCGGGGGATTGTTCCCCTCCAGGGATTCATCATTTGGGTTCTGCTGCAGATTGTTTTGTTTCCTTGGCCAATGGGCTCCAAGCCGTGACCTGGCTCTGTCAGACTCTCACGGGGATTCTTTAATGTTTTTTCATGTCTTTTGTATGGAATTCTTTTAGTATCCCTTTAGCATAGATTTAATATGGTATTAATGAGATATAATATAGTATTGATGAGATATAATATAGCATAAATGAGATGTTATATAGAATTAATGAGATATAATAGAGCAATAATGAGATGTAATATAGTATTAATGGGATATAATATAGAATTAATGAGATATAATATAGTATTAATGAGATATAATATAGCATTCATAAGTTGCAATATTCCATTAACGAGATGTAATATAGTATTAATGAGATATAATATAGTATATATGAGTTATAATATAGTATTAATGAGATATAATATAGTATTAATGAGATATAATATATTATTAATGAGATGTAATATATTAATAATGAGATATAATATTGTAATAATGTAATAAAATATAATAACAATGTAATATAGTAGAGATTTAATAGAGAAATTTTTCAGCATTCTGACTCATGGAGTCAGATGCCGTGACCCTGCTGAAGTCCGAGGGGCACCTCCAGCCCCCCGGGGGGTCCCTGCGCCTCCTCTGCCGAGGGTCCGGGTTCAGTTTTGGGAATTTTGGGATGCAGTGGGTCCGCCAGAGAGCCGGGCAGGTGACGGAGTCGCTCGGGGGGATTTAGAGCGATGGTTCCAGCACCGGCTATGCACCCTCAGTCAAGGGCCGGATCAGGATCTCCAGGGACAATGGGCAGAGCTCGGTGACGCTGACCATGAGCAACCTCAAGGACGAGGATTCTGCCACCTATTTCTGTGCCAAATCTGTTAATGTTTGGTATGATCCTGCTGGTGTTGTTTATAGATTTGACTGTGCCCCCCATCCCCGTGTCCCCCACTGTCCCTGTTGCCCAGACCCTTCCCCCAAACCCCCAGCCCTCACACAGCCCTTGACCATTGATCCCAACCTTGCTCTGCCTCGGACCCAATTCTCACTCGCTGACACCAAACCACAACTCCTGACCCAAAATCTCCTCTTTGTGCCCCAGACTTTGAATTAAAAGTAGAGATTTAAGGCCAAGGTTAAGACTTGGGTCACCTTTCTTGGCAGCTATGGAGAATTTGGGGAAGAACCACTCTAGGGTTGGGACAGAGTACGGAATGTGCAAAAGTGTTTGGGTTTTAGGGAAGGTTCTGGGATTTGTGGGCCGGTCGGGACACGGCCAGAGGGTCCGGACCAAAACGATCCACACCAGCACCAGTACCCCAATTGTTATAGGCAGATTTCCCGCAGAAATAGGATCCGGAATCCTTGTCCTTGAGGTTGTTCATGGTCAGCGTCACCGAGCTCTGCCCGTTGTCCCTGGAGATCCTGACCTGGCCCTTGACCGACGGCGCCTACCAGGCGCTGCCACCAATGTTGATCCATGCGAGCCACTCCAGCCCCTGCCTGGGTCTCTGGCGCACCCAATTCATGTCGTAGCTCCCGAAACTGAACCCGGACCCTCGGCAGAGGAGGTGCAGGGACCCCCCGAGAGGCTGGAGGTCCCCTCCGCACTCCAGCAGGATCACGGCCGCCCGGAGCCCTGCGGGACAAAGGGGAGATGATGGAAACGACAAATCTGATTGGTCCAGAACGAGAAAAGGGGCATGGCTTGCAGAAAAAAGGGGCAGGACCCGCGTGAGATGGCAGCCAGGATGAGGATGTGGTGGCAGAAATGTCAAAATTTTGGGCCAAGAGTCAGAATTTGGGTCAAGGGTTGAGCTTTGGCCTCATCCCCATCTCCCATTTGTCCCCCAGGGCTCCGGGAGGCTGTGACCCTGCTGGAGTGCGGGGGGGACCTCCAGCCCCCCGTGGGGTCCCTGCACCTCCTGTGCCGAAGGTCCGGGTTCAGTTTCAGGAGTGTTGCCATGCTCTGGGTGCGTCAGAGACCCGGGCAGGGGCTGGAGTGGCTCACAGCGATCCACAGCAGTGGCAGCACCTACTACGTGCCGTCAAGGGCCGGTTCACGATCTCCAGGGACAACGGGCAGAGCTCGGTGACGCTGACCATCAACAACCTCAAGGACGAGGATTCCGGATCCTATTTCTGTGCCAAATCTGCTGTTGATGATTGCAGTCCTGGTGCTAAATATGAAGACGCCTGAGGTGGATCCATTCCCATCTCAGTATCCCCTTCTGTCCTCAACCCCAGGTCCTTCTCCAAAATCTCAGCCCTTCACCCCATTCTTGACCGTTTGTCCAAAGTCTCCCCCATAACCACCCATGGTGAGCAAAGGCCCCAAACCCTGACTGGTTCTGCACCAAACCCAACTGAGTTGGTGCCAAAATTTGCCCAATTTCACCCCAAATCTCGACCCTTTGGGCACTTTTGGGGCACGAGGATGAGATTTGGGGCCAAGAGTTTAGTTTGGGGCCAGACCCAGGGCAGAGTTTGGGGCCAATGGGCAGCGTTGGGGCAAAGGGGGCGGGGCTGGGACAAAGGGTCAGGGTGAAGGTTTAGGGCCAATGGTTGAGTTTTGGGGCAGAAACAGGTGAGGGTTTGGTGTCAGTGCTGACCATTGATGCAAATGGGGACAAAGGGTCAAGATCTGAGACAAGAGGTGAGGTTTGGGATGAAAATCGATAATTTAGAGATCCAATGATGGGACAGGAGAAAAATCTAGCAGTTTGACGCTATCAACAGCATAGTCATCATGATTAGCAACAGCCCAACAACCAGCACAAAAAGCCCTGGAACAGAAATAGGATCCGGAACCCTCGTCCTTGAGGTTGTTCATGGTCAGCGTCACCGAGCTCTGCCCGTTGTCCCTGGAGATCCTGAACCAGCCCTTGACCGACGGCGCGTAGGCGATGCTGGAACCAGCAGGGCTGCTGATACCCGCGAGCTACTCCAGCCCCTGCCCGGGTCTCTGGCGGATCCAGCCCATCCCAAAACTGCCAAAACTGAACCCGGACCCTCGGCAGAGGAGGCGCAGGGACCCCCGGGGGGGCTGGAGTTGCCCCCCGCACTCCAGAAGGGTCATGGCTGATCCATCATCCACAAAGCTTCTCTGGTTTTGCCCCAGAATCCTTTTTTCTTGCCTCAAATGTCCAGCAGAGGTTTCCTGTATTGAAAAGTTCCTTAAACCCGGCAATGAGCCCCAATCCACCCATTAATTAAGTGGACACCTCAGCCTGACTTTTGCATCGCCCCATTCCCATCTCCCCGTTTTTCCCGCAGGGCTCCGGGCGGCTGTGACCCTGCTGGAGTGTGGGGGGGACCTCCAGCCCCCCGGGGGTTCCCTGCGCTTCCTCTGCCGAGGGTCCGGGTTTGATTTTGGCAGTTTTGGGATGGGCTGGATCCGCCAGAGACCCGGGCAGGGGCTGGAATACGTCACAAGGATCAGTGACAGTGGAGGTTACACCGAGTACGCTCCGTCATTCGAGGGCCGGTTCACGATCTCCAGTGACAACGGGCAGAGCTCGGTGACACTGACCATGAAGAACCTCAGGGACGAGGATTCCGGATCCTATTTCTGTGCAAAAGCTCCTGCTGGTGGGGGTGCTGCTACTGCTGATTATATGGACGATGCCCTTGCTGTCCCCATCTCCTCGTCCCCCCTGTCCCCGTTGCGCAGACCCTTCCCCCAAACCCCCAGCCCACACCCAGCCCTTCACCATTGATCCCAACCTTGCTCTGCCTCGGCCCCAATTCTCACCCACTGACCCCAAACCACAACTCCTGACCCCAAATCTCCACTTTGTGCCCCAAAACTTGATTCTTAAAGTGGATACTTCAAGCCAAGGGTTAAGGTTTGAGTCAAGTTTGTGGTAATGTGCAGAGACCGGATTTCGGGCCGAACCACTCCAAGACTGGCACATGGGGACAGGAATGGGGTCCAGGCTTGGGGTTTTGGGGAAGGGTCCAGAGAATGGAGATACGTGGTGACCGGGGAACAGGAACACGGCCAAATGCCACCAAAACATGAGAGTGACCAATACCTGCAGCAGCACCCCAACCAGCACTACCAACAACACTTCTGCCACAGAAATAGGATCCGGAATCTTCGTCCTTGAGGTTGTTCATGGTCAGCGTCACCGAGCTCTGCCCGTTGTCCCTGGAGATCCTGAACCGGCCCTTGACGGAATCCGCGTACCAGGTGGTGCCACCGGTGTTACTGACACTCGCGACCCACTCCAGCCGCTGCCCGGGTCTCTGGCGATACCAGCTCATGTGGAAACCACCGGAACAGAACTCGGACCCTCGGCAGAGGAGGCGCAGGGTCCCCCCGGGGGGCTGGAGGTGCCCTCCGCACTCCAGCAGGGTCACGGCCGCCCGGAGCCCTGTGGGACAAAGGAGAGATGCAGATGAGAGACCTGAGTGTGTCGTAGGATGGGGACCAGGAGACCAGCTGGTTCATCACAGGTCCAGTTTATTGAAGAAAGCATCAAACACTTATACAGCAAATAATAAGTTTATGAATATTCTGTAAGCCAAGCAATCTATTGGTTAAACTATACCATGAACTCTTCCTCATTCCTTAGGGGTTACATCTCTCTTTTCTCATGTCTCTTTCACTGTTTTTTATCCTACTGAAGCTAGGCCCAAGGACACACTATCTCACAGGTGCAAGATTTGGAATTAGCCACGGCTTTGTACTTTTCTATTCTCTAGTCTGCTAAATTTCCCAACACCAAACCACAACTCCTTACCCCAAATCTCCTCTTTGTGCCCCATAACTTGGCTCTGAACGTCGGGGTTTGAAGCCCAGGGTCCCGATTTGGGGACAAAGGTTGAGAAGTTGTGTCAGCGGCTGTGGCTGGGAGCACTAAGTGAGGATTTGGGGCAGAATTGGGTGAGTTTTGGGGCCAAAGCAGTTGGGTTTGGGGCACGACACCCTTGGGGGTTTTGGATCCATGGTTGGTGGTGTGGGAAATGGGGAAGATCTGGGACAAAGGGTCAGGAATGGGGACACGGACTGAGATTTGGGGGAAGTTTCTGGGGATTGGGGACAGGAGGGGATCCAGTCAAGGGCAAGAGGCCAAGAGCAGAGACATCATTAACCCACCTGGCACCAGCAGCTTTGGCACAGAAATAGGATCCAGAATCCTCGTCCTTGAGGTTGTTCATGGTCAGCGTCACCGAGCTCTGCCCTTTGTCCCTGGAGATCCTGAACCGGCCCTTGACCGAATGCGCGTAGCTGGTGCTGTCAGTGGTGCTGATATCTGCAATGAACTCCAGTGCCTGCCCGGGTCTCTGGCGGATCCAGGCCATCACAATAATCCCAAAATCGATCCCGGGCGCTCGGAAGACGAGGCGGTGGGACCCCCCGGGGGGCTGGAGTTCCCCCCCGCACTCCAGCAGGGTCGCGGCCGCCCGGAGCCTTGCGGGATGACGGGGAGATGGGGGATGAGGAGCCGGACCCGGGCGTGAGCCCTGCTGGGGTTGACCAGATACAAAAAGGGACCTGGACCCACCTGGGAGGGCCGGCAGGATTGGGAGGAGGAGAAAGTGCCACAATTTGAGGCCAACATCAGAATCTGCATGCAGGAATCAACATTTGGGTGGATTTTTTCCCACATCCCTATCTGCCCTTTGTCCCGCAGGGCTCTGGCCCGCCGTGACCCTGCTGGAGTGCGGGGGGGACCTCCAGTCCCCCGGGGGGTCACTGATGCTGCTGTTCCGAGGGTCCGGGTTCAGTTTCGGGGGTCAGTCCATGCAATGGATCCGCCAGTGCCCCGGGCAGGGGTTGGAATGGGTCACGGGGATCCACAGCCCCGGGGGTTTCTCCGACTGCTCCCCGTAGGTCAAGGGCCGGGTCAGGATCTCCAGGGACAACGGGCAGATCTTCACAGCACTGACCATGATCAACCTGCAGGACGAGGATTCCGGATCCTCTTTCTGTGCCAAAGCCACTGGGCTGATTGAGATGACCATGATGCCAATGCTATAGACTCCACCCCTCTTTCTGTGTCCCCAAATGTCCCCATTCCCCAGACCCTCCCCCAAATCCCAGCCCATGACCCAATTCCTGTCCCTGTGCCCCAACCCTGCCCTGACTCTGCCCCACATTCTCAGCTCCTGGCCCCACACCTCAGCTCGGGGCCCACTCGGGGCCATTTTGGCTACTGAGCTCTCCTTGGCCATCCTGACCCTGCCCTTCACCGATGGAACTCTCCAGGTGACTCCACCCTTGCACCCATCTGCTTCTCTCAGCATGGAGCCCTCGACTCGAGATCAATTTGAAAAATTTAATTTCCCCAAAATTTCTTGTGTTTTTTGAGGTAAAAAAGGGGGGTTTTCTCCAGAGAGAGGATTCCACCCCCAGCCCCAAGGAGCAGCACCAGAAACCGAGGCGACTGAGGGAGAAGTGAAGCCCCAGGTGGGAGCGAGGGTGGGAGCGAGGGTGGGAGGGAGGAGAAGACACCGCGATTTTGGGGCTCCGCCGCCTCCCCCCACTTCCTCCCTGGCAGCTGCCAGGGCCCGGCCGGGGCAGGAAAGGAAACAGAAAGTTGCTGGTTTTTGTCATTGTGAACATCTGTGTTTGGCAGAGGGCAGCTCAGCCTCTGGGCGCTGCGGCAGAGCGCCAGCTGCACAAAAAGCTTTGGGTGCAAAGGGCCCTGGAGCGATCCCCGTTCCGCACTGGGACGGAGGTGAAGGGCCAGACTGGGTAGAAATAGGATAAATTGGGGGAAATTGGGAACTGGGGAAGTGACGGTGGAGTTTGGGGGAAAATTGTCAAGATGTGAGAAATAGGGGTGAGGATTTTGGGGACGGATTAGAGAATTCTGAGTTATTTGGGAACAGAGAGGACAGGGCTTTGGACCACAACCACCATCAACACCATAACCAGCACTAGCATCAGCACAACTACTGGCATAATATTTGGCACAGAAATAAACAGCGGAATCTTTGTCCTTGATGTTGTTCATGGTCAGCGTCACCAAGCTCTGCCCGTTATCCCTGGAGATCCTGAACCGGCCCTTGACCGACGGCGCGTAGTTGGTGTAAGCACCATTGTTGTGGATCCCTGCGACACACTGCAGCCCCTGCCCGGGTTTCTGATGCATCCGAAACGTTCCATAACTCCCGAAATCGAACCCGCACCCTCGGCAGAGGAGGCGCAGGGACCCCCTGGGGGGCTGGAGGTCCCCCCCGCACTCCAGCAGGGTCACGGCTGCCCGGAGCCCTGCGAGACAAAGGGGAGATGGGGATGAGGCCAAAGCTCAAGCCTTGACCCAAATCTTGACTATTGGCCCCAAATTGGGACCCTTGGAGTTCATCATCCTGCTCCCAGGTGGGTCCCACCCCTTTTTCAAGCATGCCAGGCCTACATGGGCACTCTTCACCAATCAGGTTTCCCATCCCCATCTCCCCTTTGTCCCGCAGGGCTCCGGGTGCCCGTGACCCTGCTGGAGTGCGGGGCAGACCTCCAGCCCCCGGGGGTGTCCCTGACGTTGCTGTGCCGAGGGTCCGGGTTCGATGTCAGTTGCATCACCATGTTCTGGGTCTGCCAGAGACCCGGGCAGGGGCTGGAGTGGGTCGGGAGCATCAGGAAGGAGGGCTGGAGCTCCATGTTCGTGCCGTCGGTGCAGGACCGGGTCACGATCTCCGGGGACAACGGGCAGAGCTCGGTGACGCTGACCATGAACAACCTCAAGGACGAGGATTCCGGATCCTATTTCTGTGCCAAATCTGCTGCTGCTGCTGTTGGTGGTTATAATGTTGGTGCTATTGGCCAGGTATTGGGACACGCCTGTCCCCGTTCCCCAGACCCTTCCCACCAAACCCTGACCCCACTCCTGCCCTTTGTCTCAACTTTGCCCGGCTCTGAACCCACATAGCTCCGGGCCCCAAATCTCAGCTCCGGCCCCCAAATCTCAGCTCCTGGCCCCAAATCTCAGTTCCTGGCCCCAAATCAGGGCCGGTTTCGACCCTGAGCTCAGCCTCGTCCCTCCAATCCCAATCACTGCCCCCAGACTTGTCCAGTTTTACCCCGAATCTCCCCTGCGGGCACCCAGTGATAGCCACCGACCCAAATCTGGCCCATTAGCCACACATCGGGAATTTCAGGCTAAAATTTGAATTTTTGACTCCTGACCTTATCTTTGGCCCCAAATTTTGAAAAATTAAATGTAATTTGAGGAACGAGGGCACTGAGTGCGGCCCAGAGCGGACATTTGGTGCAGAGCCAGAGCAGGGCTGGGAGAGGGTGAGGAAATGGGGTAAGGGGTTTGGTTATGGGGGTGAGGTAAGAAGTTGGGGTATGGGGACGGGTCTGGGGAATGGGGACAGGTAGGGATGCAGAGATGGGGACGGGGCCAATAGCATAACCAGGATTAACATTTCCAGAAGCAGTGGTTTTGGCACAGAAATAGGTGGCGGAATCCTCGTCCTTGAGGTTGTTCATGGTCAGCGTCACCGAGCTCTGCCCGTTGTCCCTGGAGATCGTGACTCGGCCCTTGACCGACGGCGCGTACCAGGTGCCACCTCTGCTGCTGACACTTCCGACGCACTCCAGCCCCTTCCCAGGTCTCTGTCGAACCCAATCCATTTCAAAACTCCTGACACTGAACCCAGACCCTCGGCACAGCAACGTCAGGGACCCCCCGGGGGGCTGGAGGTCCCCCCCGCACTCCAGCACAGTCATGGCCGCCCGGAGCCCTGCGGGACAGAGGGGAGATGGGGATGAGAAATCTGATTGGTCCAGAAGAGGAAAAGGGGCGTGACTTCCAGGAAAAAGGGGCGGGGCCACATGGGAGGGGCAGCAGGAGCAGCAGGGCCAGGAGCCGGAGGGAGCTCGAGTCCGTGGCCGGGATGTGCACGGGTTGGGGTCCCGGGGGGAATTGGGTGTCGTTAACAGTGTATTAACTGTGTAATCAATGCAGAATGCTCAGGATGAGGTGTCTAAGTAATTAAAGAATGGATTGGGGTTAATTGCAGGTTTTGAGGCATGTTTAGATATGGAAAAGTCTGGTGGGGTTTTGGGGCTAAACCAGGGGAGTTATGAGAGAAATTGGTGAAGGTTTGGGGATGGGCTCCGGGCGGCCTTGACCCTGCTGGAGTGCGGGGGGGACCCCCAGCCCCCCGGGGGGTCCCTGTGCCTCCTCTGCCGAGGGTCCAGGTTAAGTTTTGGACAATTTGGGATGGGCTGGATCTGCCAGAGACCCAGGTAGGGGCTGGAATGGCTTGCGGGGATCACTAACACTGGTGGAAACATCGACTATGCACCATCTGTCAAGGGCCGGTTCAGGATCTCCAGGGACAACGGGCAGAGCTCGGTGATGCTGACCATGAACAACCTCAAGGATGAGGATTCCAGATCCTATTTTTGTGCCAGGGCTTTTTGTGCTGGTTGTTGGGCTGTTGCTAATCATGGTGACAATGCTGTTGATAGCGTCAAACTTCTAGATTTTGCTCCTGTCCAATCATTGGATCTCCAAATTTTCGATTTTCATCACAAACCTCACCTCCTGTCTCAGATCTTGACCCTTTGTCCCCATTTGCATCAATGGTCAGCACTGAAACCAAACCCTCGCCTGTTTCTGCCCCAAAACTCAACCATTGGCCCTAAACCTTCACCCTGACCCTTTGTCCCAGCCCTGCCCCCATTGCCCCAATGCTGCCCATTGGCCCCTAACCCTCCCCTGGGCCTGGCCCCAAAGTCAACTCTCGGCCCCAAACCTCACCCTGGTCCCCCAAATGTGCCCAAAGGGCTGAGATTTTTGGTGAAATTTGGAAAATTCTGTGACCAACTCTGTTGGGTTTGGGGCAACACCAGACGGGGTTTGGCGTCTTTGATCACTATGGGTGGAAATGGGGCAGATCTGGGACAAAGGGGCAAGACCTGGGGCTGGAGTGTGAGGGAAGGGTCTGGGGTTTTGGGGACAGGTGGGGACACAGCGATGGGAAGGGATCCACCAATGGTGCATTTACAAATAGCAGGAGGGCCCCAATTATCAGCATAAGCACGCTTGGCGCAGAAATAGGATCCAGAATCCTCGTCCTTCAGGTTGTTCATGGTCAGCGTCAACGAGCTCTGCCCGTTGTCCCTGGAGATCCTGAACCGGCCCTTGACTGATGGCGCATAGCCGGTGCTACGACCATTGTAGCTGATACTGGCGATGAATTCCAGCCCCTGCCCGGGTCTCTGGCGCATCCATCCCATTGCAACACCCCCAAGATTGGACGCGGCCCCTCGGCAGAGGAGGCTCAGGGACCCCCCGGGGGGCTGGAGGTGCCACCCGCATTTCAGCAGGGTCACGGCTGCCCGG